TTAATATGTTCACAGGGACTCCACAATCTGAGAGTACATGAATTATATTTTATTTCTGTTAGGTTTTAAGATGTAGCTACTTTCCTACTTTTGTTTTTGGACAAGTAAATGTTTTTACGAGTGAAAGTTATTCATCTTGCACAAATATAAGAAAATTAAAACATGTAATGCTTTGCTATATCGAAATACAGTGTGTCGATGACAAATGAAATAAAAAATGCAATATTACGCCAGCCATTTTTCTTATGGAAAAAAACAAACAAAATTATCCTCGTTAAGCTAATTATGCAAAAAATTATGTTAGCATAGTTGCGAATGCCCTACATTAGACTTATAGTAACTATTATGTTAGAGGGAAAGTGAAAAATAAGATTTTAATTCCATTTAATCCTCGATGTATGATTCCTCTCAATCTTGTGCAATGTGTTTAAGTTCCACGAATTGAAACGATTCTTTAGCAACTACGAGGTGTGACAGCGATAATATGTGGAATGCAACCATTCACCTGTCGGAGTCAAAGGACGAAGAGATAATCGCCATGTTGGTTGAACTTTAAATTGGAATCAAGAGAAATTCTACCAACATGGCGACCATGACATGGCCAGCGAACTCTGTTGAAAGACTGGAATGATAACTCCAATACAAATGCTATATGATAAAATAAGGCTGATATGGTGGATAAAGAGTGATTTTTTGTAAGTATAGAACACATATGCTGTGTGCGTAGATTGTCATAAACATTGAAAATACATCCCACATGGTAATGTTTTCACAATATATTGTGTGAGTTTTATGTTTGAAAAAACTTTAAACATGTCGTGTTTCTCAGCTTTACGATTCTTATATATAAGATTTTTTAATGAAACATTAATTTTTCTAAAATATTATGCTGGGACAAACCGAATACAGCACCGAGCAGACATTTAAAGATGTTGACGATTATTGTTTTCAATCGGAAAAATGGGATATCAGCTCTTCGTCGGGACATAGTCTAAAGACTATGTCCATAAAGACACACTTCTTTCCATTTACAACGCTCTTATACATCCTTACTTTACTTACTGCTGTGAAGTTTGGGACGTTTTCGGCGAAACTCAATCCAAACGCTTACATAAAATTCAAAGTCGAGCTGCTAGAATCATCGCAAACATGAGTAATGTTGTTGATCACGAAATTGCTTTGAGAGCTTTAGAGTGGGAGCCTCTTGATATTCAAAGGCAAAAAAGTAAAGCAAAGCTCATGTTCAAATTGCTTAACAACATGGGTCCAAAATCACTTACTAGTTTATTTAGTTTCAAAAGCGAATCAACTGATTATCAACTTCGTGGTTTTAAAAAAACACTATGCTTACCTCAGCCACGAACCAATAGCATGAAAAAAGCCTCGCATTTAATGGGCCACAAGTCTGGAACTCATTGCCAAATGAACTTAAAGAAATTAGTTCTCTAGCGACCTTTCAAAGAAAAATCGCTTCCCACTTTCCCAAAACAAATATGTAAACTCAACTAATTGTAAATAGCTTTCTAACCTAGCTATACTTCATTTAATGTACATTTTAGTGTCTTGTGTATTGTAAAATGTAAGTAGTTCACTATTCTATTGTAATTTTCATTTTGCACACGCCCCATGTGGAAATCAACTTGTATGTTGACAATGGTAAGCGTGTTAAAATAAAATTATCTATCTATCTATCTAATGTTTACATCAATTACTCGAGAGCTTTAGCTTTCGTTCAAAATGTTGATTTTTTCTGACATATAACATAAAGAATTGATCAAAATTATTGTTAAGGTAAGATATACGTAAAAAAGATATTTCATTGTTCGTTATTTCATCATATTTGTCATGGACAGTGAGAAAAACAATGTTTTAAAAACATTACCGCTTTGCTTTTTCGCCAAACTCCCTTCATTCATGCGAAACATTCCCATTCATCAAAGAGTTTCCAAAATTTATATGTTCTTAAAAGGCTATCAGCTATTTTTGTCTTCTGCATGGTAAATAAAGCTTAATTTGGCTCAACAAACGAAAGAAGATAACTTTTATTAAAATCGTTCATTGTATGGTAGCCAGGAGCCTGAATCTTACCTATAAAACAGCACAAGGTCCTGGATCATACCTAAAAAAAGTATCATGCTTGGTTTTAAAGATAGCAGCGAAGTTAGCCTTCCGGTTAGTAATAGAGTTCACTGGACGTAGCATAGTCATAATTTTAAGAGCAGCAAAATACGCGTGGATAGGCAACAGTATAAGCAAAAAAATATCAGATATTTTATCTTATTATTCTAACATCAATTCCAAAATTTTATCATCTCACTGCTTGTCTTTGCTTCTATGACATAAATTGGCAAGAGTGTGAAGTGTAATGTTTTTAGTTGATCGTTTGTTTGTTTTGTGAATAAGTCGTTTGTATTTACTATCGACTTAGATGTTCAGTACCACGACCACCCAGACTATACCGACTACCAAAACTTCACAAAGCACAAATACCCATGTGACCAATTGTATCATTCTGTGGTTCGCCTACTTACGAACTCTCAAAGTACTTGACTGACATACTGCACTTGAGCTCTGCCTCACCTCGACTTACTTCCAGTACAAAAGTACACACTACAAACAATTACATGGAACAGCAATGGGCTCGCCCGTTTCTGTTGCAGTTGCTGAAATTGTAATGCAATCTATAGAAGAACGGGCGCTTACGACTTACAAACATGCACTACCTTTTTGGTTCCGCTACGTACATGACACAATCACAGCCCTACATGCAGACGAGATTGATGAGTTTCACACTCACATCAACGAACAGAACAGCCACATACAACTTACCAAAGATGTCGAAGAAAACGAAACTCTTCCTTTTCTCGATTGTTTGGTAAAACAGGAGAATCAGAAACTACGAACAACAGTTTATTGCAAACCGACACACACTGACCGACTACTAGACCAATCATCTTACAACCCTACATCACACAAAGCCACCACAATCAGAACATTAACAAGACGTGCACAAATCATATGTGATTCACCGGACGCTCTACACAACGAAAACAACTATCTCAACTCAGTGACAACAGCAACGATACCTTACATCAAAGGTACGTCTGTACATCTTTACAAAATAAACTGCTCCGAATGCCACGCCTCCTATACCGGGAAAACTGGCAGGAGCTTAAACATAAGACTTACTGAACACAAACGAGCTACAAAGAAACCAGACAAAACTAATCACGTTGCCGAACATCACCGAATCACAAAGCACAACATTGACTGGGACTCGGCAAAATGCATTAATTACAGTACTGACTATAGACAACGGCTTACATTAGAAAGTGGTATACCAACTTGGAATAAACCCCCCTAAACAGATCACAGCAATTACCGGCAACTTACAAACGACTTATTCATAGTACAAACAAATGATCAACTAAAAACATTGCATTTCACACTAATTGACAATGACAATTCACACCCACACATTACAACTAAAAACATCACACCTAAATCACACATCACAACTAAAACATTTCACTTCACACTAATTTACAATGACAATACACAATTGACACCCACACATTTCCTGTACACACAATACAATGACGTAAGAACCAGATAACAAATACGGCTAGTCTGGGTGGTCGTGGTACTGAACATCTAAGTCGATAGTAAATACAAACGACTTATTCACAATACAAACAAACGATCAACTAAAAACATTACACTTCACACTAATTCACAATGACAATACACAATTGAGACCCACACATTTCCTGTACACACAATACAATGACGTAAGAACCAGATAACAAATACGGCTAACCTGAGGTTTACTCCTCATTTGACTCTGAAGATGACTACCGCTAAGGTTGTCGAAACGTCAGTCAGCAACAACAAAAACAGTCCTTCTCAGGACTATACCAACCTGGACGATCTACATTTACAAACATGTAAACTCCCGGGTTCAAACCATTTACTTTATTACAAAGTAAGACAAATTTTAAAGCCACTGGATGTTAATTTAGCTAAAAAATTAATTTAACTCATGGTGAATTTCGTGGTGTACGTTATCAGCATCACATGATGACATATTTCTGGAGTGCAATTGGTTGATTGCAATGCAGTTTGTCTTTAATTCAACTGTGAATATGTGTAATTGCACTGTTGAAAAGCTGTAATTTCACAGTAGAAGTTGCCATTTCACGGTAAATACTTATACTTTAACTTAATTGGCTGAAAAGCAGGGAAAACCATTTCTTTCCAACAAATTTCTTTCACATTCAAAAAACAAGTTGGCGGCAGTTGTAAGTAAACAAAGATTTCCACAAGTGCAAATTGCAATCTGTACTAAGTAATTAAATTAAAGCATGCGAAGGTTTTAAGTTTTTATACAGCATTGAGATGTTAATTAAAGAAATAACAGCGAATTCTAATCAAATTTAAAAGGGCCATCTAATATATACAAAGTTCAATGACGAATTATTCAAAATGTGTAACGTTTTCTCTAACTCGCCAGACATCATCGGACACCGATAAGTTACGAATATAGTTTGGATTACTTAAATGTTTCTTGTGAGTATTTGCAGCATATTGAATAACAGGGTTGAACAAAAGATGTTGGCTGTATTGATAAGTATGTTTATACATGGATGTCATAGCTCGAAGTGAGGGCATATATTAATATATTATATATGCAGGTTTGTACAATTATCGAAACTATATGCTCTTATTTCTCTTTGGCAATGAAAACAAATTTATGGAGTGCGTCACAGAGCATGGTTTTGTTAGGGCATTATTAAGAAAGAAGTTCTCCCATTATTTAAAGAAAATCAAGGCTCGTCTAAAAGTTTTCTTTATTCCTCAAACGCAATTTGCTGCATTGCATGATCCACTTATCACTTTAACAGATGGAGACAATGGGGTGTCGAGCATTGAGCATTGAGCTGAAGGAAACTATCGTGTTAGTCATGAAAACACTACATTTAATGATTGAACTTCATTCGAAATTTACTCGTTGAGGAGTCAACATCACAATTCACAATATGCTTTTCCCGTGTTTGTGGTTTCTCTTTAATTCTTTAATCCTGTCATTTGCAAGGGTAAGTTATGGGTGCGTTTAAGTATTTGGAAGTATAATTTGTGCTTTATGTTTACTTTTGATTGTTATAATACCAATACGTATGCACTTCTTTATTAATGCAATGTATAAGTTAGTTCTATTCTGTATAAACCTCTGTGCAAGTCAACCTCCACTGTAAAAAATCGTCAATTTTTCTAACTATTGTCATAAATGAAAAATGAGATGGGCCTTGTAATTTGCGCTTAGGGTGGATACGATTGGCTTTAGTAAATGAGTAGCAAATATTTCATTTTACACTTTAAACGAAGAGCTTTGTCTCACGGGCTTTTTCTTATCCTCTCCAGCCATAAAGTTATTCAAAGTATATCAAAGATTTTAGTGTTCACATAAGAGAACGAGAACTTTGCTCTATATTTGTGTTTTAGATTCCTCAAAATCCCGGAATTTGTAATAAACAGTTAGAGGGAAATAAGACTATTGTTAAAGATCGAATTGGGGAAGCAAAACTTCTCATTTGTGATAGTGATGGACAAGAATTTCGTTGGAAAATGGTTGATGGTAAAATATTATGCTTAAGACATTCTTTGTCTTACAATCAATCTTTATAATGCCTATATGTTAAATAACTGTACCGAATTTATATTTACTATCCCATGCTTCTTCAGTTTTGAAGCGCTCCTAAACATTTTCATGATATATGAATATGTAATATAAATAATATAGTTTGCCACTTTAAAAAAGTATATGATAATGCATCATAAGCATTTAAAAGGATTTTTATTTCAAATATTGACGTGTCACCTCGCCAATAACCACGATGTTAAAAGGCTTTTTGTTACATTGTGTGAATAGATTTTTCAGCCGATTGCATAAGGCCATTTATTTGCTTATTAAAGGTATTTCATACGGAAATGTATTCGATCCAGCTAAGGACTGCTCGGATATTATGGACAGAGTCCCTGAAGCTCGTACTGGCATTTACTGGATACAAACAGAAAATGGGCCGCAAAAGGTTGAATTGCAGTGCATAGAGCATACATACCAACTGAGCTCTTTATCATTTCATTAAAAATTACTAGTGCAAAACTGTTGTAAAATGCAATAAAAATAGGATGATGAATTAAAAGCGACAAATGAAAACAATTTTACAAGCTACAAGTTTTTTTTCACAATAGGCTTGGTGTGACATGGAAACAGATGGCGGGGGATTTATGTTGATAGGAGTTCAAGACTCTCCAATATCCTGGGATGTACCATCAAACCCCAAACTAATAAAACCGCAAGATTCGAGGCATTGGTCAAGCTCATTTGGAAACATGTACATTCTTGAATTTCGCGTACAAATATCGACTTCAAAGAATATGGAAAATACGAAAGCCCATTGGTTAATATTTTTGCAAAATAATCATAATATATCGATTGTGTTCCATTACAACGTTTTTTGTACACTTTGTTTTTTACGTAATGGTTGAGGATCAGGCCTGAAAGTAAAACACGCCTTCTTCTAATTTAAAGGTGGAAAGATTATGAAATATGTCGTGACATCTTTAACCGTTTTAGGAATTATCATTTCTCCTCTCCGAGAAAACTGACTGAATTACTCCTGCGTGATTCTGGAGGCTGCAACAGACTCTTTCCTGGTGTGGGAAATATTCAGTATGTCAAAGATCTTAGAAGAAACAAAATTATTACGACCAACTTTTACTGTTCTAGATTTGGTACACATTTTCACAAAAACTTGGGTTGGGTAAGTTTAATTTTACAATTGTGGATCCTGGCTGCAAGATTTATTTTCCTCCTGTTTGAAAGCTTGAATGAAATAAGACCCAAACGATGAAGTGAAGCAAAATAACATATTGGTGAAAAAATTTTGTATTTAGTTAACCAGCTTTTTTACTGATCAATTAAGTGTAATCAAGGAGTAGAAATGTTGAAAATTTAGTTATTTTGAAGTCTTTTGTCACTTTTATTCAAATATGCACACCCAACTCAAACGCCTTAAGCTCGTAAGACCATGCATCTTCGTTCATTTAAATGTTAACTTTTTCACAATTTTTCCTTCTCATAGTTTCAACGATAATGCATGTGTTGACTTTTTAATGACCGACGTATATTTCGGTCAGATTCTCAGAATAGTTGGGAAGCTCACATTTGATAAGAAATAGTCATTATATGCTCTACTACGTCATACATCTTTTGATTTGTTCAGTGGCAGTGATGCACACGTGATTTGTAAAGTTTTGCGACATGACAAGAAAAAACGTGTTTTCAAGCTCATGCTTACCTTTTGTAAAAAAATTTCTTGATATTAAAATGGCAATGCTCAAAATATTATGTTGGAGATTGCATTTTATCTCCGAAAAATGTGGACGATGTCGATTGTTTCCCTGTTTCCAACAAAATTTTGGAAAAAAATTAAATTTGAAATAAATAAAAGTTAGCTAAGTGTTTTGCTAAGTTTTTGCATGCATTGTAAAAACACAAAACAAAAAGCCGCAAGAAAGTAAAAGATTTATGGCTTCTTTTGCGCATTTAATGTTATACTGATGAAATACTGCGTGGAAATCGAATATGGCTAAATAAAATAAATTGTTCGAGCAAGCGGGAGAATCTTTACTTCTTTACGTGTTTGCAGTTGTAGATGATTCATGTTAGTGCAGTCATGAGAAGAACTGTCGGAGTTGGTGTTTCAACATGCTGGTCATTTTTGAAGGTTTTTGGAACGTCATTCCACAAAACAACACCAACACAATTATCATTGTCAACACTAACATCAACAGTTGTTCTTAGGACTCCATTAAAATAAACGGGTGTCTATTCTTGGTCGAAAAATATTTACTATCGCATAAAGGTAGCAAATTATTTTGAAAAATAATACGGTTACAAACTTGTGATGCCAAAATCCAATGAGATATTCATCAAATTCTGTTTACAGTGTACTTTCAGTTCATGGAAAGAACTAGCACTCATTTCAATGGCAACCTAGGTTTAGCTTTTAAAGATACGACGGTGTGCGAATCTGCTCTTTTTATATCATGTATTGCGTGTTTGTTTCACCACGAGATACTATACGTTGTGCGTTACTAAAAAAACCGAACTTAAAATATAAGATGCATGGGTGTATATATAATATAAGTTATTAAAGGTAGCTTTCAGCAGCCTGCCAATTTTATTGAATTTAAAAAAATATTGGAGCAAACCAAAAATAAAACTAATTAATATTTTGAGAAATCAGCCTCTCAACAAATTAATAATCTTCAATCCACTCCATCATAATGCACGATCTAAATTAGTAAAGCTATACTATGAAAAGAAAAAGGTATAAACTCATTTTCTGTAATTTCATGTTAGGGAAAGATGAACCAATGCCTCGGATCACCTTGTCCAATCGGATTTGCACATCTAAAATTTTCTACAACAGGCTCATTTAGGTAAAAAAAATCATGCATAAATGTTAATATGTAAAAGTCGCATGTGATCTAATATTTTATCTTCATAAAATTAAAGTTTTAGCTCTGTATCTCCAAGATCAGGCATTTCTGATAGTTCAACTGCATTTATTGGCTGTGATTCTGGGCAGGTAATTTACATGCACAAACTTTTTTGTGGGGTTGTTAGCCAGTTTTGATTTACGGAATTGGCAGTCAATTTTTAAGGCAAATTCATTATGAGTGCACATTTGAATTTCTGCAAAACTAAGATAATCCTGTTCACGAATGAACTTTCAAGCAAATGCTTGCTTGCCACCATTCTAATCTGCTCTCTTTGATGACAAAAAATTGTGTTTTCATCAGTGTTGTGCTTGTTACGGTCCTGACAGCAATAGAGAATACTGTGCTCCAAAATGCAAAGCAATAAATGGTGGTACAGTGGTAAGAGATAAAAACAAAATCCACGCTTGGTTTTGGGTGCGTTCAGCTCTACCAAAACATCTTTGGAAAAAATGTATGGAATATAAAAAAATGGATAAGAATGGGAAATCTGTCATATGGCATGTTAATAAGAACACAAATGTTCCTCAAAAGGTAAGATGGCTTATTCAATGGAGAAAAATCAAGATAAGGAAAGGCGGGCCTAACAAACATCAATGATTTTGATTTTCAGTTAATACATTCTGTCACATTATTTATATTCTTAATTTGATACTTATAGGGACCGTGCTCATATCCTGGAGAAGTAAAACTAATAAATGGTGTAAGTATTTCAATAATCTTGTAAAACAGAGACAGATATATACGGCTGCTTTAAAAATGGCCTGTGAGACATTTACAGAATTAGCCAAATAATTTTTCTTTACTAAATGTACTTAAATTGAAAATATAGATTGCTGTTGTACAAGACAAAAGAAAACTTGAAAGTCTACCAAATATTGAAGGACTTCTGTCATATCGCATGGACAGCAGAGATATTTATTTTAGAGGGAAACAAAAGTGGAATGAAATAGCTAAAGAAGTACAGGTACACTTTTTAAAAGTCAAGGCACTTGTCAGTAAAGGAAAAAATTATTGCCGTTCTTAATTTAAAATTGATATTGATGCAGAAAACTAGGATTGATTGTATTTTTATAACAAAACATGAAACTGTATTTAGTTGTTCCAACTGTAGATCAAAGCATTGAACAGCGAACTAAGACGAATTAGCAAAAAGTTAAGAACAATTGACCAAGGTATTGTGCTAGTTCCATAGTCATGCATGCATAGTTGGCGATCGTAAAAGTTTACCTGAAAAAAATGAACAGTGAATTGACAATAAACAAAATAGAAATATATATTTTTAAGCACGATGCTTTTTTTTTCATTACAGAGAACAAAGTATATACATCATGTAAAGATGTTAAAAGCAAAACAGGGTAAATTTGAATTCTAAAGTTGTGTGCTTTAGGATAACTACTTACTTTGTTTTGTTTAATTAATAAACGAGATGTTTTACTGGCAATGTAGTTTTTATGACATTGAGAGCTTATTTTTCATCACTGCACCAAAAAATCTTGATAGAAAGACGTTTTTACATAAAATTTTAAGCTCGTGCATTTTGGCTGGACGTCACGCCACTTCTCATACTTAGGTCAAAGAAACATGGTAGTTACAAAATCAAAATTCCTGAGATTGGTTTTGCCAATGTGTATTGTCATATGACATCGTTACCCGGATGCTCTGGAGGTGGATGGACATTAGTCATGAAAATAGATGGAAGAAAGGTCTGATTTCATGTCTAAAAATAAACATGCATTGTGTAATCATCGGCAACGAAGATGTATTTTTTTCGTGAAAATTTTAAAAAACTTGAAAAAAATAGGTTTTAAAGCCATTGTAACTTAATAGTTATACCACTGAAAACTACTCATCTTGATTACAATTTATATTTTAGAACACTTTTCATTATTCATCCCCATATTGGAGCAATAAAAAAGCATATCATATTGGGGAAGGAATGACTGGATTTGATGAGCAAGAGGCTAAGCTTCCTACTTACTGGACGACACCATTTAATGAAATTTGTTTAGGAATGAAACAAAATAATGACTTGAGATTTATATCTATTTCATATAAAGCTTCATCATTACATGGTATTATAACAGATGGAAAATATCGTACGACAAGCATTGGAAGATCAAAATGGCTTTCCTTAGCAGCGAATGCTAACATTCAACGGCATTGTAATTTAGAGGGATTTAATGTTAATCCGGTAAAATGTCGTGGATGTTCGAAAGTTCGAATAGGAATACTTGGAAATAATGAAAATGAATGTAGAAGCCCTGATTCATATATTGGTTTTGGCGGTCTTGCCTCGTTTAACCGTATTTATTGCCAAATGCCTAAAATACCAAATACAAGTGGAAACAGCGCATACTGTCGATTGGGTGGAAATATAGAAATACGTACAATGGGTTATGTTTTGGTTCGCTGAAATACTTCATTTTAAACTTATTCTTTGATATTTGTATACTTTATTTTTTTATATTTTAAGTATAGCTCACGGAGACGGAAATTAAAATTCTTGCATGTATACATTAAAAATTTATGACCTCATACAAAATCGTTTTTTAACCAATTTTCATTCAAACATTCAATATCATTCTAGATAAGTTAAAACTTTACTGACCTGGTACTAATGTTATTTTGCGTGTTACCAATGCTATTCGGTTGATCTATAAAACCAAATCACCATAGCAACGCTGCCTTTTTCTTCGAGAGACTTTTTGTAAATTGCGTTTTAAACAGCAATCACTATTTAATTATTAGGTTTTTGCCTTATAAAAAAGATACAAAGCGCAGAAGACGTGTATATTGACTTTTTTTTCTAAACATTGTGTATTATATTTTTAATACGAGCATCGTATAGAAGTGAGCATTTTAAAATGTTTCCCCCACCGTATTATTGTCATCGAGGGTCCCTTTCTCATCGTTTTATTATAGATAAGGCACTAACATGTAGCTAACTTCACAAGCCAGGAAATAATAACTATTAGATGATACTTTTTCTGCATTACTTTTTTTATTACTTTTTGAATGCGCAAGCATCCATTATTTGTTTATAGATCTAGGAGAAGTAGTTATCTTAGTTCAATTGATGCATGATTACAGCATTTGACTTTGCGAGCTTTTACGCAGTGAGTGCATATAGTCAGGCAGACAGAAGGGAAAAAACTTACCCTATGGAGGGGGAAATGCAGTATGCCTTCAATTTGTGCTTCATAACGTAGTAATAATGTTTAAACATGTCGGCAGTGCAAAAATATCTTGTAAGTTGTTCCCGACAACGTTTTTTTAGCATTTTGATGATATGTAAATTTTGTGCAAAATAGCTTCGAAAAATGAAGAGCTCGCAATTAATAGGCCACTGCATAATTAAAAATGCAAATAATTAATGTTATCGCTTGCTTTTGAAAACGAAGAAAAGAAAAACAAAATTACGACAAACGTCATAAAACTCTTTTATTTATTAAATCATCTTATTTTGAGTTGTTTTCAGCGAAAGAATGTCATCGGGTGTGCAATGGCCGATGAAGCTTGTGCAATACCGCCAGCACAGGGGGTGCGCTACAAGCGTTTCAGTCTTTCAGACCGGCAGAGTTTGTAAACCTCTTCCCAAAGTAAATGATGGACGTAAAGTGACCATCATAAAACGGTGAAAAAAATGTGTGAAACACAAAGAGGACAAGGACTTCATAGAGGACCTAATCGAGAGCAGCAGCTCTATCCGATGATGGCATCAACACACCCAACATGATCGACGATACAAAGAGAGAGTTCTCATACCCCCATCGCACCCACTCGACAAAATACCACAGATTAGATGACAAAGTCGCTGGAAACGATCAACTACCCGTTTTTATGTAGATTTGTAATAAAACCATCGATCAACCACTGCTCCCTGAAAACATGAGGTGTCGTGGGCCGTTGCTAAATCCTGGTCATAAAACCATGGAGGTAAAGGCAGGTTATGATGGTCATCTGGCGTTGGGGACAAATTTTTAGATGATAATGCCGACATCCAGATACAAGTCACGTACTTTGCCCGTTTACAATGCAATCGCAAATCATCTTTTGTTGGTGGAAGTTTATGCGGTTCTGGTAACTTATTCTTGGTGAAGAATTTTCTGTATCGCGCTTTTAATTAAACAATATCTATACACCATGTAGTTAAGCAACCATTCCTTGAACTGTCGGAAAACGATTTTCATTTAAGTCAAAAACGGCACAAATTTCCTTTAATTCTTCTTGATATCGATGTGAACCCTTGACAATTTTTTAAGCTTTTTGTTTTTGAACTCCAAAGAACGCACTTGTTGAGTAACAGCCAGTAAATGCATGAAGAGCTGGTAATGCGTTAGACATTGCTTCACCAAAACTTTCTCAAATTCTTGAAACAGAAAAGATCCTCTTCCCTCTTCCTTCATTTTAGTCCAATTTCAACATATACATTACAGCAAATTCGCTCTTTGTTATAGACAGCCATGATTGCAACATCGCTGTCAACAGTTGAGATGCATATACTAGGACTTATATTGGTTTGAGTAACATGCCGGAAACAAAGAAACATCTTAGTGCCTGCTTCTTCTTGGTTGGAGCAAAGGCTAACTTCTTTCCTTGACACTAATTTGTTATTTGCTACTTCTAGTTGATAAAATTTACTTTCAATGGTTACAAATACAGTTCGTTTCGAGATGGTGACTTTCAAGCGCTCGGGATTTAGCTAATCAATTACTCTGTGACCAAGACATTAGAGTTGGATCAATTTTCCGTAATTGCTGAACACGGAGTTGTAAGGTAAAATGCAGGGGTGGCGCCAAGAATTTGACTGAACCTTTTTTGTGATGACGTTAAAAAAGTGTTGTTTTATAAATTGGCATTATTTATACGCTGTATATTAAATCGCTTTCATAAATATGTATTTCCTAGGTGAAAGCGTGTCAAAAAGGGCTCAATTACTGGCAAATCGCATGGACAAAATACGTATAATATGTTTTTTTGTACGAGAGCTTACTTTATGGCAACTCCAACGCAGGCATTTACAATTGTTCCACATGTAGCGTAAGTAGAGTGACAAATCATCATTTATGTTTTGGCCAATGGCAGTCAAGATGTCCATAGGAAGCTGCTTGATTTGTGAATCCTGACTGACATCTCCTAAAAAGTAAACATACTACGAAATCTATAGAGTGCATAATGTTTATTTTTTACGGACGGTCGATCGTTTTGTGTCTAAAGTGATATTTGGTGGTCGTAATTTTCTTCGCAAGCTGAGCTCAACTTCCAGAATATCTTCACTGTCCCAGCAAAGTGACTCAAACAATTGTTATGATTTGTCCCTATAACTTGCTGCACGGCTCGATCATCATTTTCCTCCTTTCTTACGTGTATTTTCCCAAAAACACTATAGAGAAACATAAAGTTGCTCAAACTTATTTACAGTTATTTTCTTCGTATAACTTTGTGTCTAAACAATTTAATTCCATAAAACTAATTTTTCCATCGAAAATGCTATGGTTTTAGAATTCTGATTGTTTCACTGGTTCAATTTTATGTTGAACAGGTAGAAATCGGGATAGAGTAAACACTAAAAATAATTTCTAAGTTGAAGCCTCACCACTAAAAATCACACATTATCTTAGTTTTTGACAACAATTTCTAGATGCCACGTTTCCTTTAGGTTTTATAGAACTCAATGTTTTGATGTCGTGGATAGACAGTGTGGGGTTTATTGTAATCTCAAAAATCTCCACGTGTTTATTAAATGTCTTATCATTACCCAATTTTGATATCAGCATCATCGAAGTAATGTTTTCAGTTAATTTTAATTAGGAAAAAATTCCCAAATATGTTCAAAGCTATTTTTGAACGTATCGCCAACTTTTATTCTCCTGATAATAATAAAATTTTTGAAGATTTTTCAGCTCCTTTAAATTGGCGATAAACAAGCAGTGTCATTATTTTGTTGCACGAGTAGATGCAAAGAACTATTTGGAGTAAAAACATCACCTTCAGCTGTACCAAAACGTATTTGGAAAAAATGTACGGAATATAGAAAATTAGAAAATAAAGGTAAAAATTCTGAATGGCATGTTGATAAAAACACAGATGTTTTAGAAAGAGGGCTTGTTTTAATGGAGAAAAATATTAAAAAATAAATAAAAAGAAAACACGGGTTTTTCAAGGAAACACTGTATACGAGTTCACGTTATAACACTAAGCAAAATTTAAATTGCTATCCAATATCTAGAAAGCAACGGTTGGTTACAGCCTTAAATTGACAAGAATGCATGGGATTCATTGTTAAGAAATTTAGAATACAATTCATTTCAATTTTCAGAAAAAAATTTTTCATTAAATTCTTCATTTAACACATATAGGGACAGCGTTCAGATCCTGGAGATGTTCGACTCGTCAATGATGCACGTCAGCAATATTACTATTAGACAGGGATTGACAATTTCTTTGAGACGCATACATATAAAATTATACAACCATCTATTTTTTGATGAGATAAATACACCTAGGATTCCATTTAGGATACTTATACTTGTTACTCGATATAAAAAGTTTTAATATGTTCACATTTACAATGTAGATTGCTGTTGTAAAGACAAAAGAATACTTGAAAGTTTACCAAATATTGAGGGACTTCTGTCATATCGTGTGGATAGTGAAAACATTTATTTCAGAAGGAGAAAGAAGAGGAACGAAATTGCTGAAGGAAAACAGGTACATTTTCAAAAAAAGAAATATTGGGCAGATTTGTGCTTATGATTTGCATTTAATGGTTGCATGTATCTGAAATTGATTAAACTTTCATTCTAAACATTACAACTGTTTGTGGCACGAAAAACTATAGATTAAAGCATTGAAGAATAAACAAACGCAAACAAAGGAAACGCTGTGAAAAATCCAGCAAGGTGGCACATTTCATGTATCTTGTTGATAATGGTCGGAGTTTACAACTGAAATGCATTTACTTAAACGCCATCTTTCAGAGTGTAATGAAGTTGCTAAGAAAAAACAGGTACGCATAAAAGTAAAAACAATAACAGAGAAAAAAAACACTGTGCTTTTCACTGGAAATTAATAATGATCGTATATAACTTTTAATTGATTAAACTATTTAGAAAAAACATTATAAACTAACTGCCTCTGGTACTTCAAACTATAGATTAAAGCATTGAAGAGTGAACTAACGCAAGTCAAGGAAACGATGCGAATAATGCAGAAAGGTATCACTTTAACAACGGTTGGAGTTTACACCGGTTGGAGTTTACACACAAAATGCCTGGTGAACTCACAATAAAAGAAACAGACTTTTTACTAAATGCTAAAATTTTTTGATCACAGAGAACAAAATATATACATCATGTAAAGACACTAATATGAAAACAGGGTAAGTTTATATTTTGAGGTCATGTGCTTTGGCAAGAGCAAAACTATTTAGTTATTTTGTTCAGTCAACGCAATTTTGCTGCATTATAGTTTTTTTTCGTTGAGAACTTGATTTTATACGAGTACTGGTTGGTAGAAAGGCATAGTTTCAAAAATGTTTAAGGTTATGGTTTGTTAATTTAAGTCAGGCTGATTCTTATATTAGGTCAAAGAAACATGGTAGTTACAAAATCAAAATTGCTGAGAGTGGTTTTGCCAATGTGTATTGTCACATGACATCGTTACCCGGATGCTCAGAAGGTGGATGGACATTAGTCATGAAAATATATGGTCTTAAGGTTAGGCTTGATCTTAAAAAACGTAATGATGCATGATAACCATATAAAAGGCTATAATGTCTTGTTATTTTGGTAAAAAAATGCATCTTTGTAATATCATAAAAAATTGACTGAAGCCTGAAGGTAAGTAATAGCTAGATATAAAATATTGTGTCCAACGTTTATGCTGCTAAGAACATATGACAAATCATCTAATACATTTTGCAAAACACTTTCCATTATTCATCCAATTATTGGAGCAACAAAGACGTTCATAATGATAGAGAAGGAACAACTGCATTCGATGAGCAAGAAACCAAACTTTCTACTTACTGGACCATACAATTTAATGAAATTTGTTTAGGAATGAAACAAGGAAATGACTTAAGATTGATACTCTAAAATTCACAGGGCCCATTCACCCTTACACTTTAAATCGAATCGAAATTGATTGGAGTCCGTATGAGGGCTAATGTGAATACTTGCAAGTGATGCGAAAACGAATCCGAACTAATTTGGGCCACTTCGAAAGGTGGTCTCGAATCGGATTAGTTTAGTCTTCATGATAGTGTGAACATGCAACACGAATAGAATCGCATCAATCTTGATCAATCACATAAACATGTTCATACAACAAATGATGAAAAAAAACACAATAATCGAAAATAATTTATAGAACATGCAAACAAAGAAGATGCTAAGACAACATATTGACGGATAAAAATGTTGCAGTAGTGTTATACGCAAGATTTAAGTTTGATACAGACGTCTGCTACAGACCAATTTTAAGAACCTTATTATATCTGTCTAGAACTTTTATCAGAGTGAAACGTTTTATAAGTATACATAGCAACAAACATTTGCGTAAACTGATCATTAAGATTGTTTGTGATACGGCTATGTCATATACCTCAGGTTAATGCAGACTAGCATTTCATTGAATTAAGAACAGCTATAGAGCATCCCAAAAATGTTCATGTGAAATTTGGAATATTATTCTAAAACTGCGACTGATTCAAACAAATGAACAAACACACTAAAAAAATCTCACAAAATAAATACCATTACCACGGACAAAGACATTAAAACATACACATGCCTAAGACTACCATTCTAGCTCGACAGGGTATTTTCCCGACAAACATGCTGTACAATGCCCATATTGCTTGTTGTTGTTCGAGCGAATTCCCTTGCGTACAGCGCTGTGCAGCCCTTCGATGGATAAATAAGCAAGGCTGTCTGCCCCGACATGCTTTGCAAGTTCATCTGGAGATAAGAAATTCGCAATGAGCTCTTCTTTGGTTGGAATATTGATGCCCATGTAACACGGAAACTTGACAGGAGGAGATGCAACGCGAACATGAACCTTGAAGGAAAAACTCACACGAATACACTAAAATCAATACCACAGAACTCAACTCCGACACTCTTATGGATAACCTGCCTTGTTTATGTTTTGCTGACAGGCAGATTTGGTGGACTGCTTTTGAACAACACTAGCGATAATGGTCAACCTCTCTTGGGAGTAATCTGCCTGCCAGCAAAACGTAAACAAGGCAAGTCATTTATGAGGAAGATAACAAGTTCCGGAAATACTTCATAAGATGTGATTTGGTAAGAGCAAATAGACATTCTTTTCTTATCGAGTTGAAAAGTTCCAAATCGTTACCAATAGTTGCTGCAATTCTAACCATTGCTTGCAGTAAATCAGAATTATAAAAGGGAAAACAGTATGGCTGGTCTAGTGGCCCAGTAATGGGCTTGTGTGGTGTTTCAAAACATGTCGGACGAAATACAAGATCCGTTGATAGCCTTTGTACACCAAAAAACTTACAAATCATTACCTCAGCTGCTCCAGCTTCACGCAACACCTTAATAATTGGAGATATCGTATTACCACGAACAATTGAGTCGTCGACAAGCACGATCCGTTTACCGACAAAATTTGCTGTTAGCGGACCAAACTTCCTACCCACGCCCAGCTTCCTGAGCCTTGTGCTTGGTTGAATAAATGTCCTACCGACATAGCGGTTTCTCGTGAGTACTTCCACATACGGTATGCCAGACGTTTGTGCGTAGCCCATAGCTGCAGGGGTCGCTGACTCCGGCACCGTGCTCACTAAGTCCGCGTCGGCTCTGGCCTCCACAGCTAATTGTCGACCGCACTCTTCGCGCACGTTATACACCATCTGGCCCTCGAAGAATGTGTCGGCACGTGCAAAGTACACATATTCAAAAATACAAAACGCACTTGGGTCCTCAGCACGCAAAGGTTGAACGATTTCCAGATGCGATACACCCTTTCGCGTCAAATGAACAATTTCACCTGGCTCTACGTCGTACATTTTCTCAGCTCCCATAGACGGGAATGAGCATGATTCAGAGGAGAGGACCCAGCCAACACACTCCATAGCACCATGCTCGATCGACCGAAGAATTTTTCCCACGCAAAGAGGTCTGTTACCATATGGATCGCGCACACCGAATATACCATCTTTCGTCAAGATTGCCAAAGCATACGAACATTGAGTATCGTTCATTAACATCTTGATCCTTGCTCGCCAATTTGCACCTAAGAAAATAACCTTATACTACATAAGCAAGCACGTAGTGCATTACAGCCGGTGGTAAAATGTTTTAAGACAGTAAATTTAACAAGCTAAAAAACCTGCCAGTTACATGCTGTAGAAATAACTGTTCGAAAACTCATACGTATATTGACCAGAAACATTGACTTTACATAAAGTTTAATTCTTTCTAAACAATAATTACATGCTATAGCAACTTGGTTTAGTATAATGGGTTTGTTGCGCCAGTATTGCTAAAAATTGATGCTTTTGCGTATTTAAGTAATGAAGGATATTGAAAAATTCACTTAAATTGTATTTCCTTTCCAATATTTACAATTTAAATAAATCGATTGCATAAAAAAACCTAAGCAGGTTTCTGTGCCACCTATGACGAGACCGACTTTTTTTTTATTCTATCAGTTTATGGACCAAATTTTTATACATATTTCACAAAACCAGGGAGGGTGTCCCACTCTCCACACCCCTGATGTGCAACCATGACAGTGAAAAAGGATCATCAATACCATGTACTATATTCTGAATAAGTACCAATATCAACTTAGACATAATAACTCTTGTACTGTTTCACGTATCTACAACTGAAAGGGCATAAACAATCCATTATTGTTAAATCATGTAAATACATAATTTTTATGAAATATGGTAACTTATTTGGGATCAAACCAAACGAAAATGCACCATATTTTCAATCGAAAGATGGATGACAATTTCTAATCTTATACATTCTGATGAAACGATTTTTGTAAAAAGAGTTACTCTAGTTTAGATTAGAATTTTGGGGCTACTTGTGGCCGTAGTATGTCAGGTTGTTCTTGTTAAATCCTATCAGCTTTTTATTATGGTGGTGCTATTTTTGAAAGTGCACACCATTAAAAACCAATCACATTTAGTAATTTACAGTATTTATTTTCTATTTTCTTTTTTGGGGATTCTTTTGAAAAATAGCCGGCATGAAAACATTTTGAAAGTACTTGTACGATGCATTATTTTATATCTACATATTTATATGTCTAATTCAGTTTAAATCAGGAATATTGAATGTAATATTCCAAGTATTTTTCATTATTTACCTCATCAAAGTTCTATGTAAGAGTGCAGTGTGCGAATTAGTTCAGAAAACACGATGTGCAATTTTTTTTGACAAAAGTGTTTCTTTAGAGGCATAATCAAATCGATATTACGTTAATTATTATATAGCGCTAATTGCTAAATTAATATTCTTAAAGGTGAACAAATTCATATGATTTACGACAGTGTTTTTCGTTACAACCGCTGACCCAGTATAAAATGTACGAGAGAAATTTTTTTCGCATGTTATTCTCTCCTCTTTTTTTGTGCAAACTTTACAGCGCAATAAATTCACCACTTGACCATCATCCTAGTAATCAAACGAGTCAGCATTTGATTTTTCCATCTATTTTTTTCACTGTATTAATGATGCACTCGAATTGAAACATATGAAAGACTTTAATTATTTTTTTACTGTATTAACTTTGCTGGTAGCTACAACCTTTCGACGAAAATGGCAAGAAAGACAAAACTGAAAAGAGAATAACCGAATATACCTTTGCTTTCTGATTATTAACAGTAACATCCTTGATGTTTACTTACGATAAAAAACATCATATTTATGTCATATTACAAGCAATATGTAAAAGCAAAAAGTATGGCTGATCAAGGTTGCCAGTTTTACTTAATATTTTGAGCCAAATTTGGCTTCTTTTACTCACGTTAGGCTAATTTAAAATAAAAATTCCCTTGGTTTATTCTTCAAATTTGGCTTATTAAAATTTTTTGTCTTGTTTTAAGAATCAAAATCAAAATGTTTCCCGATTTTACTGAAAATACTCAAAATAGCTATGATGCCACAAACAGTACGTAACGGTTTACAAAACAACGCAAATGCAAAAATTGACATTAATAATGTATTACACCCCTATTGTCATAAGCATGTAAGCACCAGGTATGTAGACTGTTGACAGACTTCTCAGTCTCAGTGACAACGTCTTTAAATTTGATGACATTGTGCCAACATGGACTCGTTTATAAAGTAAAGATCAGTAAAGACTAAGCTTGAAAACTTACTTCAATTTATGTGGTAGTAATCAATAAAGACGTTTTTTGCATGTCGTTTGAAAAAGTGATGTGCAATTGTTTTCATTTTAGCTAAAACGATGTGCAAATTGTACATTGCACACCGTTAATTCGCACACTGTAAGAGTGTACTGTAATATCTGTTAAAAAGACTTAGCAAACTTCAATTTTTGTTGGTCACATATAATGCAGTACATTTACCCTTTTATCTCTGTGAAAAGAGTGAAAAATTGTAACTGCACATGAGTTCTCAAAAAGAAAAGAAGTTACCCCAAAACACAAATACAATACTTGGACTCAAAAATAGCAACAAAATTACAGTGTGACACATGTAACAAGACAATTGCCCTTTAGCATAGTAGCATTTTACAGGAAAATAGGCACTCTTCCTGTACCTACTCTAGGCAATACAAGGGGTACACCCCTTTCCACTTCTCCAATAAAATCTTCTATAAAATCCATCCTTGTTTTGACACATGGTTTGAAAATAGATATCACTGGTTTACCCAAAAAATATATAAGTCCACCTACTAACTAACACCAAGCTTACATGTAATCACCTTCAGGTTCACCACATGGCGGACGTCGTGACAGAAGCTGTGTTATCAGCTCACTATCTGATTTTGTTGACAAACCAACATTACTTGCAAGAACTTTCTGTCGCAATGAATCTGCATTGACAAGTTCCCCATTATGGGCAACTGCAATCCAATTTTGGGCAGTATCTACGACAAATGGTTGACAGTTTACTAGCTTTGATGAGCCCATAGTTGAGTAGCGATTGTGACCAATACCCATGAACCCCTTCATAGACTTTATGTCTTCTTCTTTGAACACATTGGAAACAAGACCCATACCCTTGTGTTGGTAAATTAAATCTCCATCACCTGTCACAATACCAGCACTCTCCTGTCCTCTAAATCGAGAAAATGATCCAATTGACACTAAGGTAAATGCACATTACAAAAACATGGATAGCACATGTATTTCTCATGAGCATTTGTGAAATTGACAAATCAGACACTCTATTTCATTCTATCCAATCTATCATTAAATTGGACAAGCACAACCTTCCAGAGAGGAGAAAACACTTCTGTTTCTTTTTCACATTGACTTTTGGCAGAGAATTGTGTTCATCAGTTGCAGAGTCATCCTATTCATTTGCTCTTTCTATGCAAATATGTTGAGTAATGGTGGTAAACCACAAAAATTTGAGGAAGGAAATAGCATGTATGTAGTTTGGTTTACCAATGTAAAAGTTTCACAGCCTGCTTTGTAAACTATTAGTCTGATGATGTCTTTTGAACAAAGATGAAATATTACACAATCTGTTGTGTAAAACTCTTGTATCATCTTGAATATCAAGAAAACGAGATGTCTGTTTTCGGAATCTGTTTTATTTTGTTTTATAGATATAATAGAGTATTGTATTTTTCATTAAAAAACACTTTTACAACGTAGGTAATTACTGTTATAATGTTTTTCTGCAAAGAAATCAACTTGGTATTATAAATTTAACAAGTGTAAATTAACTTAGTCTTGGTTCTATTCTTGTATCTTAGAGCCTAAATGCTTTATGTAAAATTTGGGTTGTCACAATTATCACAGATGTTTGCATACTGTCCCAAACATCTGGAATATGAATTACTGGACTATGAATATTGAATTATCCCCAAACTTTGCAGGCTACGAAGAAAACTGGTAATGTTGTTTCTGTTTGATACGACAAAATAAAAGGCAAGATAATATTTGGACAAACACTATTCAAACATATTACTCTTTGAACCATTTCATTGCACTTTTTTTCCTTCTCATGATTCAATGAGAATGTAAACATTTTGTATTGACCAATAAAAATGCAATTTTCACCTGTGTGTCCAATGTATGTGTCAAACCAACTAAGTATAAGTGTTATTAAGAATACTTCCTGTTAAAAATTTGTTTGATAGTGGAACATTGATCATGATAGTAAATAATTAATAACTATTGACTTGTCAGCATTGCTCTCACCAACAACTGACCAGTGATCACACCATTTGTCCATGTACATACACAATCCATTAAACCAATCCAAAAAGCAGGAAACCCTCGATGAACAGAGTGCTGCAAAATGAGGAGAATGGCTATCTATTCACTTACCTATGTTGAATTCCAAGAAGGCCGAGGAAAATGTTGTTAGCAAGACCGAAATCAGTCAAATCGACATTTTCAGCTGCTATACACCCGAACACACCACACGAGTCTTGAAGAGCATACGAATTTTCTTCGTGCATATCCATACTCAAAAACGTAAAATATGCATAGAAGAATTACTTAAGTACCAGTAAGCAGAGCAGAAATCACTCCAATTAAGTAAACTTTACGTGTCAATTTCAGAAGGAATTGAATCGATATCCATTGGTGCCAAATTGCCAATTTTTATTATCGAAAACAATGTTTGGTTTCAGTACACATGGTCGTCGACAATTCCACCCTCGGTCGCTTTGATTGGCTAAGTGATAGACGCGAACTTCATTCTTACCTTTTGATTGGTTCGACTTCCTTTTGGTTGCAGCTTTGAATTGGTTTGGATTGCCTGATCCAAACACGCGGAAATAAAACGAGAGGTACATAAAGCGCGCGAAACACGGAAACGATCGAGTTTCGAGCAAACTGCAACATTCCCGAGTGTTTAGACTTTAGAGGATATAGGATGTGATAGTCCTAGCACTTCAAGACCGTTAAGTTATCATTTATATAATAACAACAAATCATGTCTAATTAAGTTTGCAACGACAAGTTTACATTGATCGTTGATTTGGATGGCCTGATCCAAATTCCAATATCCAAACTCTGGTCTCAACCAATCAGAGCACGCGTCATATTGATTTTGCATTACACTCTTTGATTGCACGCCAGTTGAAAAACTACCGTGAAATTGGCACCACATTGGACACAACATTCAACACAACATTCATCACAACATTCAACACCACATTCAACTAAAATTTATCATTCAAAATGATAAATCGAAAAATCGTCTTTAAAACACGTTTTCCATCAAATAAAATAGTAAAAAACAATTCTTAACTGTTTATTATTATTTTACTGTCCTTAACCATCACAAAAAATGTATAAAAGTCAAGAAATTGAAGAAAACACTAAGATTTATATTACAGTGTACTTTCCATTTCTCTTAATTAGCGTATAACTTAAAAACTACACGGTAGAATTTTTTTAAACTTGGCCAGAATATAGATAATTATATTGCCTAAAATATATCCAAAATCTGGAGAGTGCACAAAAATATAAATGATAGAAAAACATCTACAAAGTCGGATGACACGAATACGCGTAATATAATATTATATAATTAACTTCCTATATCCAGGTATCTTTGCAAACAAAGGCCTATAAATAAAAAACTACACGGTAGAATTTTTTTAAACTTGGCCATACTGTTGATATGTTTATTCTCTATAATATATCCAAAATCTGGAGAGTGCACAAAAAAATAATTTGTAGAAAATCATCGGCAAAGTCGGATGACACGAATACGCGTAATATAATATTTAATAATTAACTTCCTATATCCAGGTATCTTTGCAAACAAAGGCCTATAAATAAAAAACTACACGGTAGAATTTTTTTAAATTTGGCCATACTGTTGATATGTTTATTCTCTATAATATATCCAAAATCTGGAGAGTGCACAAAAAAATAATTTGTAGAAAATCATCGGCAAAGTCGGATGACACGAATACGCGTAATGTAATATTATATAATTAGATTCCCATATCCAGGTAACTTTGCAAACAAAGGCCTATAAATAAAAAACTACACGGTAGAATTTTTTTAAACTTGGCCATACTGTTGATATGTTTATTCTCTAAAATATATCCAAAATCTGGAGAGTGCACAAAATAAGTTGTAGAAAATCATCGGCAAAGTCGGATGACACGAATACGCGTAATATAATATTTAATAATTAACTTCCTATATCAAGGTATCTTTGCAAACAAAGGCCTATAAATAAAAAACTACACGGTAGAATTTTTTTAAACTTGGCCATATTACAGATATTTTTATTGTCTATAACATATCCAAAATCTGGAGAGTGCACAAAAATATAAAAGGAATAGTATTCCTTGAGAATAAACCGTGAAGTTGGCACCACATTCGACAAACAGCTCTATAGCTAAAAAACTACACGGTAGAATTTTTTTAAACTCAAGTATATTATAGAATTTTATATTGTCTAAAATATATCCAAAATTTGGAAAGTGCACAAAAATATAAATGATAGAAAAACATCGGCAAAGTTGGATGACTCAAATGCGCGTAATATAATCTTGCATAAATAAGTTAAGAATTCCGGTTCTTTAACAAACAAACACCTATAAATAAAAAACTACACGGTAGAATTTTTTTAAACTTGGCCATATTGTAGATATTTTTATTGTCTATAACATATCCAAAATCTGGAGAGTGCACAAAAAAATAAGTTGTAGAAATCATCGGCAAAGTTGGATGACACGAATACGCGTAATATAATATTTAATAATTAACTTCCTATATCAGGTATCTTTGCAAACAAAGGCCTGTTACACACTTCAATTGGATATTTTTATTGTCTATAACATATCAAAATCTGGAGAGTGCATATAAAATATAAAGTGAAGTTATTCTCTTAGCTAAAAACTACACGGTAGAAGTTATAGAATACATTCCAAAACAGTGCTATATAAATGATACACGAACTACGCGTAATATAATATTTAATATATTTAGCTTGTACAAAATCAAAATTGTAAATAAAATATATGGTAAACAAACATCAAAAATATGACTGTAGATATTTTATTAACATTCCAAAATCTAAGTTAAAAGGTTCTTTAAGAATAAACCTATAAATAACATACACAAATTTTTTAAACTTGGCTTTAAATATTTTTATTGTCATCATATCAAAATCTGGCTTGCACAAAAATAAGTTGTAGAAAATCATCGGCAAAGTTGGATGACACGAATACGCGTAATATAATATAATCTTAACTTGTATATCCAGTTCTTTTTTTATTTTGCTTTGTTGTGACGTGCAGAATTTTAAACTTGGAAATTTGTAGATATTTTATTTATAGTGTTTGTTGTTAAAGAACCGGAATTTTTAACTTATTTATAAGATTATATTACGCGCATTTGAGTCATCCAACTTTGCCGATGTTTTCTATCATTTATATTTTGTGTGACTTTCCAAATTTTTGATATATTTTAGACAATATAAAATTCTATAATATACTTGTTTAAAATTCTACCGTAGTTTTTAGCTATAGATGTTTGTCGAATGTGGTGCCAATTTCACGGTTTATTCTCAAGGAATACTATTCCTTTTATATTTTGTGCACTCTCCAGATTTTGGATATGTTATAGACAATAAAAATATCTACAATATGGCCAAGTTTAAAAAAATTCTACCGTGTAGTTTTTTATTTACAGGCCTTTGTTTGCAAAGATACCTGGATATAGGAAGTTAATTATTAAATATTATATTACGCGTATTCGTGTCATCCAACTTTGCCGATGATTTTCTACAACTTATTTTTTTGTGCACTCTCCAGATTTTGGATATGTTATAGACAATAAAAATATCTACAATATAGCCAAGTTTGAAAAAATTCTACCGTGTAGTTTTTTATTTATAAGGCTTTGTTTGTTAAAGAACCGGAATTCTTAACTTATTTATGCAAGATCATATTACGCGCATTTGAGTCATCCAACTTTGCCGATGTTTTTCTATCATTTATATTTTTGTGCACTTTCCAAATTTTGGATATATTTTAGACAATATAAAATTCTATAATATACTTGAGTTTAAAAAAATTCTACCGTGTAGTTTTTTAGCTATAGAGCTGTTTGTCGAATGTGGTGCCAACTTCACGGTTTATTCTCAAGGAATACTATTCCTTTTATATTTTTGTGCACTCTCCAGATTTTGGATATGTTATAGACAATAAAATATCTGTAATATGGCCAAGTTTAAAAAATTCTACCGTGTAGTTTTTTATTTACAGGCCTTTGTTTGCAAAGATACCTTGATATAGGAAGTTAATTATTAAATATTATATTACGCGTATTCGTGTCATCCAACTTTGCCGATGATTTTCTACAACTTATTTTTGTGCACTCCAGATTTTGGATATGTTATAGACAATAAAAATATCTACAATATAGCCAAGTTTGAAAAAATTCTACCGTGTAGTTTTTTATTTATAAGGCTTTGTTTGTTAAAGAACCGGAATTCTTAACTTATTTATGCAAGATCATATTACGCGCATTTGAGTCATCCAACTTTGCCGATGTTTTTCTATCATTTATATTTTTGTGCACTTTCCAAATTTTGGATATATTTTAGACAATATAAAATTCTATAATATACTTGAGTTTAAAAAAATTCTACCGTGTAGTTTTTTAGCTATAGAGCTGTTTGTCGAATGTGGTGCCAACTTCACGGTTTATTCTCAAGGAATACTATTCCTTTTATATTTTTGTGCACTCTCCAGATTTTGGATATGTTATAGACAATAAAAATATACAATATGGCCAAGTTTAAAAATTCTACCGTGTAGTTTTTTTATATAGGCCTTTGTTTGCAAAGATACCTTGATATAGGAAGTTAATTATTAAATATTATATTACGCGTATTCGTGTCATCCGACTTTGCCGATGATTTTCTACAACTTATTTTTTTGTGCACTCTCCAGATTTTGGATATATTTTAGAGAATAAACATATCAACAGTATGGCCAAGTTTAAAAAAATTCTACCGTGTAGTTTTTTATTTATAGGCCTTTGTTTGCAAAGTTACCTGGATATGGGAATCTAATTATATAATATTACATTACGCGTATTCGTGTCATCCGACTTTGCCGATGATTTTCTACAAATTTTTTTTTTGTGCACTCTCCAGATTTTGGATATATTATAGAGAATAAACATATCAACAGTATGGCCAAATTTAAAAAAATTCTAAAGTGTAGTTTTTTATTTATAGGCCTTTGTTTGCAAAGATACCTGGATATAGGAAGTTAATTATTAAATATTATATTACGCGTATTCGTGTCATCCGACTTTGCCGATGATTTTCTACAAATTATTTTTTTGTGCACTCTCCAGATTTTGGATATATTATAGAGAATAAACATATCAACAGTATGGCCAAGTTTAAAAAAATTCTACCGTGTAGTTTTTTATTTATAGGTGTTTGTTTGTTAAAGAACCGGAATTCTTAACTTATTTATGCAAGATTATATTACGCGCATTTGAGTCATCCAACTTTGCCGATGTTTTTCTATCATTTATATTTTTGTGCACTTTCCAAATTTTGGATATATTTTAGACAATATAAAATTCTATAATATACTTGAGTTTAAAAAAATTCTACCGTGTAGTTTTTTAGCTATAGAGCTGTTTGTCGAATGTGGTGCCAACTTCACGGTTTATTCTCAAGGAATACTATTCCTTTTATATTTTTGTGCACTCTCCAGATTTTGGATATATTTTTGAGAATAAACATATCAACAGTATGGCCAAGTTTAAAAAAATTCTACCGTGTAGTTTTTTATTTATAGGCCTTTGTTTGCAAAGTTACCTGGATATGGGAAGTTAATTATATAATATTACATTACGCGTATTCGTGTCATCCGACTTTGCCGATGATTTTCTACAAATTATTTTTGTGCACTCTCCAGATTTTGGATATATTATAGAGAATAAACATATCAACAGTATGGCCAAGTTTAAAAAAATTCTACCGTGTAGTTTTTTATTTATAGGCCTTTGTTTGCAAAGATACCTGGATATAGGAAGTTAATTATATAATATTATATTACGCGTATTCGTGTCATCCGACTTTGTAGATGTTTTTCTATCATTTATATTTTTGTGCACTCTCCAGATTTTGGATATATTTTAGGCAATATAATTATCTATATTCTGGCCAAGTTTAAAAAAATTCTACCGTGTAGTTTTTAAGTTATACGCTAATTAAGAGAAATGGAAAGTACACTGTAATATAAATCTTAGTGTTTTCTTCAATTTCTTGACTTTTATACATTTTTTGTGATGGTTAAGGACAGTAAAATAATAATAAACAGTTAAGAATTGTTTTTTACTATTTTATTTGATGGAAAACGTGTTTTAAAGACGATTTTTCGATTTATCATTTTGAATGATAAATTTTAGTTGAATGTGGTGTTGAATGTTGTGATGAATGTTGTGTTGAATGTTGTGCCCAATGTGGTGCCAATTTCACGGTAGTAGTTGAAAAATCTTACACGTGGTCATAGCTCGTTGAAAGGTGTTGAGATTTTTGCTCTTATCAAATTGTTTAGCACGATACTGACAATAGAGATTAGAGAGTTTCTGCTTGTACAAAATGACAACCTCCGATGAGAAAGGTAAGAGGACCAAATAAGAATCGACTTTATTTATCCTAATCGTTGTAATTATGGTATATTTCTATTGTTTGAAACCGTACGACTTTGTATTTGCTGATAGTGTGTTTTCGCACGTGGGCCGCCTGTTACAATTGCACAGTGAATGAATTTATAGTGAAACAACTTATTATAATGCCAGCTTTTTTAACAATAATTATGCTTCCAAATAACTTGGTGTTATTTCTATTTACATAATCGGTAAAGAATTAAGAGTAAAATGAATAATGCGAAGACACCTCGATTACGATGCTTGAAGATGTACTTGAAGTTTGAACAATGCCGCAAGGAAACATTGTTTGTGCGAAATATTGTTTTCGCGTAGTGTAACTATCACCGTCTTATTGGATTTATTGTACATCATGCTTGCATAGAGCGTAAATTTATGCAAACTCCTTAATCGTTTTTCCCACCTTTCAACAGTCAATATTTTTAATACACTGGTGATTGGATGAAATGCTGACAGAAATGCAAGTGTAAGAAGTGCAGCCAAGGTGTTTGAGTATGCTTTGCGACAAGTTTTTATTTTGGGAAAATAATATGCAGTTTCACAGTGGCAAAGGCATTCAGCATGTTTAGTTCTCTAGGGTGCACTTTAGGAGGTGTGAGGGTGGGGCACCCTTACCTTCCTGTGAAATATGTATGTAAGTTGTTCCAGAGACTGATGGAGAAAAAGCAGTTTTTCCGGCTAAACTTTTACATTTTTCAATCAAATAAAGACACTTCAAAAGTTGCTCCTACTCCCAGATTATATAGAGGCACCTAGTTTTTTTAAATGTGCTCCCTTAATCCTTCTATACAAATTTTTTGTGCTCACTCACAGCAAAAGAATAGAAATACTTGTAATGTAATGGAGTTTACACTGCAAGACAAAATCTTGTGGTAAAGGCAAGTATTGCAATTTCTGTGATAAAATGTGATGGTTAAATCGGAAGTGATTGTCAAACTAAGCGTATTTATCATATGACCTTAAAAAATTAAAAATTTTTTCCACCAACCCCCCTCACAGTTTAACTGTTGTTTGGAAATATTTTCACAAAATACTTGAATGCTTGAAATCTTGATAAATTGTAGTGAAGTGAATTATGGTTTGGCTGAGAGAGATGTAGATGGTTTGTCTTATAAAAAAAAGTTTGAATTTAAAATTTACGTCTGCTTTATAACTCACTAAGTCAGAACATGTGTAAGAATCAAAACAAATAAATTTTTCTGCCATTAATATATTGAAAGTCATGAAGAGGAGAAATGGTTATTGCTCCTTTTACATTCCCCCCTCCGAATACATTGACTTGTTACTGAGTTAGTGATATTTGATCATGCTGGCTGTTTTAGGTATTTAATAATGAGGTTTGAAATCAAATAATTTACAAACTGAAATGTATTGTCATTAATGATTAAATATTTCAAAAAGTTATTATACAAAAAGAGTATGCAATTAAGAATTGTAAATGCTTGCAAAAGTAGTTTAGGCATGTTTCATAAAATTTTTCTTCAGTTGTATGTAGTCGCAGTTTCTTTTGGATTGATGTTGTTTATTTTAACATAACCAATATCTAAATGTTGTGTGTTGTGCTCAGTTGGACTTTTAGGATTGTCGTATGTTCTACAGTGTACATGGCATTATTTCTCTCCCCTTGGCTTACTTCTTTTACTCTCATAATTTCTGGGTTTTCAGCCAATTTGCCACAGTGAATAATTTGCCTCCATTTCTTTCTTTCTACTGTATCCTCTTGTTTCAAGCCATTTGACAGCATGCTATATTGCAATGTTTCCTCTTATATGGCAGCTCGTGTTTTCATTTATATATTATATACGTCCTTGTACTGTCCAAAACTTCCTAGTCTCGCATAGCTTTTTTTCAGGTATTTATGACATGTGATGCTTCATTCTCAGTAACCATGTAACTATAGACTATAGCAAACCTCATCATGTTTTTCTCTATGATAGCTGTTATATCTCACATTCCTGTAGGATAATAGATAACTGACTTTCTGCATGTATTAATATGGATTGCGTGCCAATAGCTGATATTAAAATAATGTTTCAAACCACCACATTTATTGTAATTTTTACTTTAGCAGCACTTGTGATTGGCGAGAAACTAAACGAGGGAAAGACGAAAATCATCTACAACTTACCGAAGTCGCCGAATGGAGACCACGTGTTAATAAGATCCAAGGATAAAATCTCTGCTGGGGATGGAGCCCGAATGCACGAAATCGAGGGAAAGAGCGCTATAAGCAATGATACTACTTGCACGATATTCGAACTGCTGAATGCCTGCAACGTGAAAACTCATTTCATCTCAAGGCACGACGAAACCTCGTTTGTGGCTGTAAAATGCGAAATGATTCCCCTGGAATTCGTGAATCGCCGTCTGGCCACCGGATCATTTTTGAAGCGTAACCCAGGCGTGAAAGAAGGCTATCGTTTCTCTCCTCCCAAAATGGAGACGTTTTTCAAAGATGATGCAAACCACGATCCACAATGGTCCCATGAACAGATCATTGAAGCCCAATTAAAGCTTGGTGGCGTTACCATTGGTGAGAGAGAGGTTGAGCTTATGACTTCAACAGCCGTAGTTGTGTTTGAAATCCTGGAAAAGGCTTGGGCTACCGTTGACTGTACGTTAGTCGATATGAAAATTGAGTTCGGCGTGAATGCCCGCACCGGTGAAATCTTCCTCGCAGACGTCGTTGATAATGATTCCTGGCGACTCTGGCCATCTGGAGATCGGCGACTCATGCGCGATAAACAAGTTTACCGAGAGATGAAAGAGGTCACTGGCGAAGGGCTTGCAATCGTAAAGAAAAACTACAAGTGGGTCCAAGAGCAAAGTCGTAACCTGTTACCAGGGAAACGTCGAGGACGAGTAGTCATCGTAATGGGTTCGCCAACCGACATAGATCATTGTAGAAAGATTGAAGCTTGTCTAAAAGAAGTGGGTGTCTTCGTTGAGCTTAGAGTTACCTCGGCACATAAGGGAACGGAGACGGCTCTTGGTATACTTCATTACTACGAAGGGCATAACATTCCCACTGTTTTTATTGCCGTTGCTGGTCGGAGCAATGGCCTGGGTCCTGTTTTCTCCGGCAATACTGCCTATCCCGTCATCAACTGTCCTCCCATCAAGGCTGACTGGGGCCCCCAAGATGTTTGGTCTTCTATGCGTCTGCCCTCGGGTTTGGGCTGCCCAACAGCAATCATCCCAGAAGGTGCTGCTCTTGCTGCCGCTCAGGCACTTGGTATGACTGATCACATTGTTTGGAGCAAGATTCGAGTTAAGCAGTTGAACAATCGTATTAATCTTCTTCATGCTGATAAAAAAGTCGCTATTCAAACGGAATAATTAGTATTTTCTTTTGTATTATATTGGATTTTTCGTGTGTTTTATTATCGGTTAGGCAACTGAAGTGACATGTAATTGGGTTTTTTTCTTTGCTTCGCTTCGATAATTAGATATTCATGAATAACTGCAATATTTTCTCATTCGTGTGGTTTTTGATATTCTGTTTCAAACGATTTATTCGTTGCACTACAATGTTTGTTTTGGAAAAATGGAATAAAATATATAGTTTAGTTGATAAGGCACAATTGCCCTGTCTAGATTTTTGTATGAAGTTGCAGTCGCTACGCTTTTCATTAAAGAATGCATGGTATTTATGCCTTTTGCCTTTTCACCTGACTTTGTTGAAAGACTTTAGCTCCTCCATGCTGGAGCATATGGTTAGGATGAGGAGCTTAGCCCGTTTAGAGAGCCTTTTATATAGCAACGGACTAGACTTTTATATAGCAAAGGAGACAGACTGCAGTGGAGGCATCTATGCTCCCAGAACGTTCGGAACTTCGAAGCCGGTAGAGCAGCCGCCATCAAGGAGAAGAGGGCCCGAAGGAAGCAACGCTCTGCCCCTCTTGTCTCGTAACCCTGCAGCGTTTGCGGACGTTCGTGTGCATCACAAATTGGCCTCCATTCACACATGAGAGGTCCCACTCTCGCAGATAGACCTGCATGCCTACTTATCTGTCGCCCCGACAGGAGAGTCCATAAAAAAAAGCCTTACTGTCCGTGCTACGCATTTCCTGCCCAATTTATGTCGATTTGTCAGGTTAACAGCATAAAGTGATTTTGTAGAGCAGTAGCTCCACTGACAAAAACAATACTCGGTAGCTGAGACGTTTACCGTTCAAGCCAAAAGAGCTCATTGAAAAAATAGGTACGCAAGCGCACTCGACCTGTCGAGTGTATGGCTAGTAAATGAAGTAGATTTAATGAATATAGTTCAAATAACATTGCATATTTAATATTATTTACGTCAAACTTGTTCACGATTTGAAAATGTTTTTTTAGTTAAACGACCCATGTATTTGTTTAACTCTTTCTACTTTTTTCGAGGCTGCAGCTTAGCTTGAATGTCACGAGACCCGCATGAAGAAGTGACGTCATTTAGATCTCTCGCGACTTTTAAAGATTTTTTCCACTGAAAAACATTTTTTCTAATGCTGTGTTTCAAAATAGTTTTCTGAAGAGTCTGAGATGTCGTTCATACAACCGATAAATCAACAGGTTTATGGCATGAATTAGACATATATAGACACTTGTATTCAGTCAGGCATGCAGAAGGAAAAAACTTACCGCATCGAGGGGCAATTCCACTATGCCTTCAATTTGTGCTTCATAACGTAGTTATAATGTTTTAACATGTCGGCAGTGCAAAAATATCTTGTATGTTGTTCCCGACACCGTTTTGTTTAGCATTTTGATGATCTGTAAATTTTGTGCAAACTGGCGTCGAAAAATGAAGAGCCTGTAATTAAAAAACACCACTGCAATACCAAAAATGCAAATACTTAATGTTATCGCTTGCTTTTGAGAAGGAAGAAAACAAATACAAAATTACAACAAACGTCATAAACGCATGACCCCCAGGACGGCAGTGAAGACTTTGGGCATCTTGTCCTACAAACGGAAGCCCAGAATCAGCTGCTAACTGTAAGAAGCACGGACGAACGATTGTCTTGTGTCAATGACGGAAACCAGTCCTACATACAACAATCAGCGGGGTAGCCCGTAGTAATCATCTCGCACTGGCCACAGAAGCACTGCGGGACCACTTTGGGTTATTAAATGATCTTTACAATGAGATGTTAAAATTGATTTGGCAGAAAATGGTTGGAAATAATCCATCCTCAAAAGCATCAAAGTGCAAGACATAACTATTGTTTCCAAAATGGTGTTCAAAATAATCCATTTGAAAAGTTCAAAGTACCAATGCTCACCTAACGATATTTCAAGCAGGATCAGATTGGAAATCTAACTAGTCATCTGTATCACTGCCAAATATGTCAATTTCGTGTCCATCATCCTCGTTTTGTATGAAGTTTGTGCGTGCACTGCAATTGCAGATGTCAGTACATTTAAGTCCATTTGTCATACATATGCACATATTGTTTTGACATCGTGACTTCTTGCAACCACAGGCTAAAAATTCGAGTATAGAGTCCGGTGTTGGTTTCTGGCTCATCCAATGACTTCCTAACTTCCCAGTCACAAACATGCATCCACGGCCTTCTGGCGTCGAGGACAAATCATTACATGATAATGCTGATTTCCAGCTACAAGTCACGTAATTTGCTCGTTTAAAATGCAATAGCGCTCGGGGTCCGACCAATCTTGTAGAAAAAAATTCACAAGATCAACTTTGTTATTGCTATCACTTAGGTACTTTTTGAATTGCTTGGGTCGTTTCTGGTCCCTTCTTGACAGCTGAATTCGAATGCTTTCTGAATTTTCACGTCGTTTGCGTTCACTACCTTTTAAAGATTCGTCAAAATATTGGTCGGTGACAAAATATATGAGTTTACCAGAATTAGAGGTGATGTGTTTCAAGACATATTCGAACATTTCGCCAAATGTTGTTAAACTTATAGAGGCCAGCTGCTGAATACATCTTTCTCAACACTGTCCAGCAGCAGGCCAGTGCTCTTACACAATCAACTAGAAGGGAATCTACCATGGGATCTTCTACATCTTTCTCAACACTGTCCAGCAGCTTAGATTTAACAGCTTTTACAAAACCTCCATCAGCAATGGCTAAAGACCAAGGAAGAGGACCAAGAGAATAGGTGAGCACTTCTCTCAACGAAACATCGCGCTACCACATATGACTAATAATCTGGCAAATAAATCACGATCCGCTTTTAACGTTAAGCTTTTATCATTAATGACGCATGATTTTTTAATTTTCATCCCTGCAAACGTCTTTGACATTATTTATTGAATTGGTGCAAACAGATCTTCCTCGTTTGATTCAATAAGCTTCGCCAAGAAGTTGCGTAATGCTTCTTTCCCTTTTACTTCCGCATTAATCATGTCGTTCTTAATATCATCGCTGCATTGTAATCCAGAACACAGATGTACAAGGAAAGTATTTTCTTTAAATGGTGTCCCCCACTCCATTTAAAGATCATAACAGCGAAAAACGCAATTTTCGTCGTGCAGCATTCGCTTTCTTCCAAGATCTTTTGTCACAGAGCCAGTGCTAAGAACTCCTCCTAAGAACTCCTCCATCGTTGATTGACACTTTGCAGCAATATGACTGGTTAATACCCATCTTTGAACTGTTCCTTCTGATGTACTATAGCCAACAATTCCACCTGCACATTTTTGCTCTTTGTTGATTGTTTGACTTTTAACTTGCCGTGAGTATATTTTTTATAACATTTTCGATGATACTCGTACTCTGGCCAGGGAAGATCTTTCCCCAAAAGAATCGATTATTGCAATAACTTTCTTATCCTCACGTTGCTTTGCAGCTTTGTAGATAGATTTTTGGACGTGTCACTGAACCTAATAATCGATTCACGTGGACTCTTTTCACTGCACTGAAGAATGCATGCGATAAATGTTTTATTTGATGTAGAGTTTTTTTTGCTTTTTACATCAACTTCAAACGGTATATATTTTTCGTTTTCTAGACATGATTTGTCAGACAAGACAATACATGCCAGGCGAACATATAATTTTTAGGTAGTTTATATGAAGTATGCGAAGTGCCGCTGATTAAAATAACCAAGTCTCACTTCTTCCATCAAAATTATTCAAAAGTCAGAGGGCTTCTCAAAACAAACCAAACGATGTCAGTAAAAGTTATTAGTCGGCCTTCTCAAGAACATTTTTGCTCGCCCACTTGTTCAGATGGTTTTTAAAGGTGTTTAACTACAATTCTAGCATAAAATGAAATTGCCCCTAGGTATGGTAAGTTTTTACTCAATTTTCTTCACTTATCTGCCTGACTAATTGTACATCCGTAGTACTTGATATTCTTATATATATAAAGGCATTAGACTCTTGTATATTTAGCCAAAGGGCCGTGCTGTTTATTTTTCCTTTTTCCTAATCACATCTTGAAAAGTCGAGTTTGTGCTTATTGGCTATTGCAAACAATGTTTGAAAGTAAACGCGTTGTACATTGCAAGAGATCGCAAGTATGTTTTATTTCCTGTTTATAGTTTGACACGTATCATATTTCACCCGATTTAGAATTGGAAGTTTCCAGTAATATTTGTATTTCGTACAATATTCAAAAGCGAAATAAATTCATTCGTTTTCTGCGTTTGATTAAATTCACATTTAAATTTACACTTTTTCACATTCATCTATCGCGCATCGCTGATTGAATTTGAAGCCGGAAAGCCGCCATATTGAACAGTCCTACAGATGACATACGAAATATATTGATATCTGTTATGAAAAACTGCGAGAAGCGTCTTTTGTGGTGCTTTGAAAAACTTCTACTTATTAGCTTTAACAAGATACCTTTACTTACGTAAATTTATAGCTTTACAGCAATACTTTTACTTTTTCCTCGAGTAAAATATTTACGCGATACATTGACTTCTACCAAAGTATAAATTGAGGGGTTTAATTTTTACTTTTACAGTACAAAATACCAGTACTTAGCTGAAAATTGTGCATAATGATGCCATCTCTCAGGATACGACATTTGTGTCTCTGTGTTCGGCATCATGCAGATCTCATCATCGTCAGATAGTTGGATGCAAGCATTGCAATGTACTAGATTGCCTTTGTTGCAGTTAGGTGGAGTTAGTGGAAAACCCTATGAATCATAGCTACATATATAAATATTCAGACTAGAGTACGATGCGTGTAATTGTCTCGGTTTCAATTTCTTAATTGCCCATACGCTTGTCTTAGTTGTCTAGAATTTTCAGAATATTTTCCCATTCTCGGAAAGAAAAAGGATTTATTACCTTGAAAAGTTCTGAGAATTCGTACAACCTGTTGCCGCTCCAAGTTTGTAGAGAAGACGAGCTCTGTATCCCATAAATGGGAAGACATGTTATAATCATTACTCAACTTAAGGCACTTGCTTTCCTGCCAATAGTCATTTCAAGTATACGAAGTGTTGGTATATCACTTGCTGTAAGCAAGCTTAAGCTCTTGTGTGATGTATGTAAACATCAAAAACTAAAATCAAGAATGCATTAATGCTACATTTGCGTTGTGTTGGTGAGTAAATACGCTGTTCTGGAATGTGTAATATGTCTCTCCCGTTCAATGCGTGGGTGATCAATAGTACTTTAAAGAACTATTGGTTCAAGCTGTTAGCTAAAATTGATTAACAAAATACAAGCGTTTATCGTGAATGCTTTTAGGACAATTAACCATAGGTTTTTGCCGGTGTGAGTTATTGTGTGACGAGTAAAGTATCTTGATCTATAATTATGTGTGAGCTTCGTGACTCTAGATATGTTGATATATCCTTATTCAAACACATCGACTATCGTGTGTCTTTGACATTTATTGTGCAGTCATAATCACCGAATATAGAAGCTTTCCAAATTTAATTTGTTCTGTTTTACACTTATCCATTTGTCACGTACATTTGTACAGTTTTTTGTACTTTTGCTTAACGAATTTAGTCCAGTAATAATTTTTCTACAGGAAACTGTTTGTTGTATACACTTGACATTCTAACCAACTTTCCGTGATTGAAATTTGAAAGCCGTAAGTTTTGTTTATTGAAAGTAACAATTCGAAAAAGCACGGCAATCTTCGTGTATATTATTCGTGTCAATGGTGTTTTTATTCCCCATTAGTTTTGCATCCTAATTCAAAGTTCTAAGATATTGAAACGTCCGTTTCTTAAATGCAATATGTATAAATGAGGATACCTAAAGTTAGCTAAGCTAGAGCTCGGACTCAAGCTTGGACACGAGCTATGATGTGACCTTAGTCTCAATTGTGGACTTGATTTTCGTATCTAGATTTTAGGCTCAGACTTCAACTAAAATAACATAATGAATTGCGATTGAAAGTTAGCAGCAAAAAGATGCTCTGCTTAAAGTGCTACTATGACGAAAATTTTGCCTCTCGTTTTTTTTCATAGATTAAAAGTGTATGTAAAAAAATGTGTTCTGGCGAAATTTTATCGCAATATATTTAATGCTGCTCGAGTTACGTAGCGATAAAACTCGAACTTTAAGAGCCGCCATTAAAAGGCGCCATATTTGAATTTTCAAGAAGGAAGGTGCTTGGGACGTCATAGTCTTAACTCGCGGCTGTTTGCAATATAACACTATATACAAATAGAGATTTAAAAGGTTGTATAACTCAATTTTTTTAACATGCCTTCAACACGCTGTGTCGGGCAAGATTGCAGTAATAAAACTGATAGAAGTACAGGCATTTCTTAGCATAAAAGCCCAAATGACGAGTCTTTGAGATAAATTTGGGTTAAATTTGTTCAGACGAAGCGCGCAAATTTTAATCCGAGTTCGCGCGAAATTCGATTTATGATTTGTTCGAATCACTTCTCGAAGATTGTTTTGAGCGTTCATTCCATTGAGTGGTATGACTAGACGGCTTAAACCTGGTGCCGTACCTACTATTTGGAAGAAATCACCAACACCAACAACGTCAAGAGAGCGGCGTTAGCACAAGTTACAACTATTATATACTTACATATATTGCAGATGATAAATTTACACAATTTGAGAGAAGCAATAATATATCCAGGCAAACTCGAATATATAATATACATTTATACTAAGGTTTTAAAGGGAATACAAAATGAAGTGTCTGTATCCAGCATGAACAAAGAAGATATAAACCTAACTGCCTTTAAACCTAACGAGGCTGCTATTTGAAAAACAAATTCGCTCAGGCAAACTTCGTTAAAGCCAGGGTGATCCAAAATGCATTTCCTTTCATCGATTTCGTACTGATACATTTTACCACGGCATTGCTCTATTTCCATGCAGCATCGGCACTCTTGAGGGTTGACAACAAGATCCAACGAACAATGGCCACATTCACACCTTTAATATTGGCCAAATTGTATGTTTCCATAAAGTTATCATAGCTAACGGCAGACGATTCAGATCAAAGTAACACTCTAAAAATGACATCTTACCATGAAGTAACATCAACACGGGCATCAAAACGATCTTGCAGCATGTCTTCAACCCGCCGTTCTTCTGCGACTGTAGGTTCGTACTCAGCAATTTCATCGGGCGAAGCAAGCGGTTCAATATTATCGACAAATGGCAAAATTTCCGAATTAGATTCGTTCGAATTTGCCGTCACAAATCCGATGAAGAAACCGATGCGTTTGTCTCGATCGAAGACTCTGAGAGCGAGCTAGAATTCGATGAATTTGACATTTGTTTGCTCTATTTATGTATTATTTTGTATACTTTCCAATGTGCGCTTCTTGCCGTGTCAAGACTATGACGTCACAGACTTTGCTGATTGCATATTTTCAAAATGGCCGATTTTAATGGCGGACAGGAAAATTAGACATTTCAAATGTTCATAACTCCCCCGTTATCTTATTACTTTTGCTTACATTTTACGAAAGCAATAATTGATATGTGTTAAAACTATTGAATGCTAAAATCGATGATTTTTTAACGTTAAGTTTTCGTCATAAAAGCACTTTAATAATATCACAATAAGAACTAATAATCAGAACTTATGCAATAAAGACAACGAAACACTTGCATGATTTCTGTTTGCGAGACAATTATTTAAGGTAACTGTCATCGGCACATAATTGTTGAACCACAATCCTATACAAAAATATGAACAGCAAGACAATACGGCCCAAATGTACACTTGACAATGATATTGCCAATGCCTGGTGTAATATAGAAGGAAATTAGCATGAGCTCTATTGATCTGTTGGCCAAACGACTTTCTGTTCTCGCTAAAAATTTTCCCCAAAAAATTATAAATGTATTCAAAACTTAAAGTTTAAATTGCATTTGCCATTGCAATTATATATTTATTACATAGTTTATTCTGGTTTATTCTGGTCACCGTAGTCCGTTGATGAATTAAATGAAAAGCTGAAAGTGAATGACATCATTTTTCTCTCGAGTCATAAATTAAAAATATTATGTCAGTGAATTTACTTAACGTCAAAGTAAGAACGAATTAACTCAACACGCGGCCATACTTGATACTTGAGCTGAGGACATACTGTTTATTAACATATATGCGACATTTGCAATAAACAAAGCCCTCGCTAGTCGCTTTCACGTTTTGAACATTATTTGCAATCGGCACATAATATTCGAAAAGACAGTTCTTTAAGAATTTTATTTTAAAATGAAACAACAAATCACATGGCCGTATATGAGGGTGTGGATGGGAGTTTTCATAAGTCGATATTATAGTCAGGTAAGATTTCTGTCGGAATCTTTCAGATATGTTGATAAACCTAACTAAAATGACCATTGATGATTACAATAAGGATTAGTGCTTTCAAGTGGTGTTTTCAAGGTTTGTAAAGCATCTGGGAGCAGTCTCTACAATATTGTCAAAAGTTATATAAAATAAGGTCTTTATGATGATAAGGTCTTTCGAATGCTTTCAAGGTTTTCAATTGAAGCAAATACCGCTAAAATTTTTATGTCGGCAATAATTATATTTTTTTTGACTTTTCGGTAGGTCGTTAATTATAAGCCTCATTGGGGCTAGTCGGTAAGCCCCATTGAGATCCTAGTATATATGTAAGTCAATACAAGTTATTCTCAATTTATTATTCTCGTATACGTCAGAAAATGCTTTGAAAGACAATCAAGTTAATACAATGTATTTTAAATCAAGTATTTTGTAATTATTTATATATTTATTCATTTATCAGTTTTTGTAATTCTGTATAATCTAGTTAGAGGGCCACAGGTTTGTCAGCTTTTCAGCTGTTACGTGTCCCCCTCTATAATTAAAGTCCTTATTATTATTATTATTACAATTCATGCATATGACATACTAGTACTGATGTCTGAGTTGAAAGTATAAATTCACTTCATTGCGCAATTTGGTACTATATATTTAATTAGATAACTGGCTGCGGAAAGCCATCTAAACGCCCCTATACTGATCAGAAAATTCAATTTACTGGCTACCAGTACATGGTAATCGCATGCGTAATAAGTTATGCGCTAACACAAAAATTTCTATAAAGTGGGACTACTGTTTGTTTCTATACTGCAGGTGGCATAAATCCTATTGTATACACGTGTTTCATACATTTGTTGAATAAGGTTTGGTTTTATTGCTTGCTTCGAAGTATTTATAGACAATTGATAACGGATGAGAGATGCTTTTTGTCGATATCAGCCAAAACGAAAAACCAAAAGCAATCACCGTTACACTTAAGATGGAAAAAATGAGTTTATGATGAACTTATTATGTAGTTTTACTTGACTGCTATTTGACTTGCTCACTCGAGTTGTTAATTGCTTTATTGCGAACGGCAAAAATGATCGAAATGTTAAGTTTGTTAGGCTTTACTGCAATCGATGCATTGCGTCAATCGCGTCTATAGTCAATCTACCTTGAAAAGTGGTAAAATTTCAACAAAAAAGACCCTATATGTTAACATAAACAAAAGCGCGCAATGCGTCTTGGTTGATATACATTCTTTAACTTCAGTTTTTCACATTAGGTAGCAAACAATCACATGTTGCTGTAAACTTGAATGATGATGAGTAATCTATGTCAAAGAGAAGAACTTTGCGGTGTGGCGTCCCATGATAAAGATACACTCGAGCTCAATTCAAAAGACTTTCAAGTCATCCGTTTCTTTTTACGTTTCTTATCACTTTGGCGTCCTTTATCTGCGGGCTATCTAGAAAGGTATGTGTATCCAATCACAATAAATCTCTTGCTGGCTTTTAATTTCATTCGCAATGCCATACAAGGATCTGAAAAATCCATCCTACTCAACATTCAGTTTTTATACATGGGGCACGAAATCGTAGTGTGGATTGGCCATATTCTTGCAAACCGCTACTTTGCCTCGAGAGATTTGGAAAACAATGTCCTTTCTCCGCTACAACCGTTAGCTGGCATTAGGAAAGTCTTGTGTCGCAAACTTCGAATTTTTAACGCTTTTGTCGTTGCGTCGATGCTGTTCTTTTCCACTATGTTGTGGACTCTCTACATCGTGACAGGTGTAACTTGGCACCATGGTGCTAACAAATTTTCAGCAGAATTATCTTTTCTCCATGGCTGGACTGATAACGTTGTCTATGGCCTCGTTATCGTCGCAATTGTCTACGATGTAGGAGTAGGACTTGCACTTTTCTGGACACTGGCACTTCTATATGTTAGCTTTGCAGCTCGTTTGAAAATCCTGGAGAAAATCTTTTTAAAATGGACGCAGCCTTCAGTCGATGCCGTTTCGTGTTTCGTACAAGTTTATGCAAAACCAGTGAAGCAATCGTGGAAGAGATTGTCTTGGTGGTTCATTACGCAAAATGTTGTTGCTCTTGGCATACCACTATACGGTTACAGCTTGGCTCAAGCCATATCAGGCAGTGACGAACAGCGTTCAAGATATCTTCCGCAGTTCATTTGTTATCTGATTTTCATCGTGACGATATGGCTCGCACCAATATTCGTTGGGGAACTAATCAAGCGGCGGGAAAAAAAGTTCGAAGAGCGAATAAATAACGTTTGCCCATGGTTAATTGATGCTAATTGTTCTTTGCGCCTCGATTCAGTTGAATTTGCTGGTTTTTCTAACGTGGAACATGTATCACAAAGCAATAGACTGCTTCTTGATTCGGCTTCTGTGGAAACATGCGATGACACACCCAAAGTTGAGTACACGTTTGCATCACGTGGCAAGGAATTGAAAAACTTTTTAAGATTCTTGAAGAAAAGAAAGCCTGGCCTGGTATCGCGCGGTTATTCATTGCAGCTTAATTTGTCGCTCATTTCACTGTTTGCTGGTGGTGTGTCCTTTTTAATTCGACTGAACTCAATGAGCACAGAAGTCAATGTTCGTAACCATTTGAACTGCTGCAACGCTACTTTGTAAAGACTGTTTTTAATTTTTCACCTTTCTGACTTCCTGTTAATGGGCTTCAGTTTGTAGCTTTATCCTTATCAGTCCCTTATCAGTCTTATTGTCGATTTCAGTTAACTTTTCAAATGGTGGTTGCCAAGTTACTTTCTAATGTTGCCAACTACATTTCCAAATATGGAATATTCGATACGAACTTGTCAACTTGAGTTGACAAGTTGTGTACTTGAGTACTGAAGTTGTGAACTTGAGTACTGAAGTTGTGAACTAAAGTTGCGAAGTACAAGCAAACGTGAAAGGTCTTTGTACCCTGTGGACATTTGGCAATGAATCCATTCAGTAAGCAAGGAAAAGCTTTAGCAATTCTAATCCGTTTGACGGCCCTCTAAGAATGTTATAATGCGATGCGCCGTTTACATTATGTAAAAAATTTAGAGTAAATGTGGCACTAGAAGAGTATCGTTGGATTTTACCCTGCATACTGTGCCCTCGACGTCTGTTGCCACTCGTAACAACTACAGGCGACTCATCAAAGAAATGCATACGGGTGCAATCAATCAATAAAATATTTGCTACGTAAGCTTCTAACTTCTCCATAACGTCCGGCCGTTCTGTCTCTCGAGGAATTTGACTTATTATCTTGTTAGAGTAACCAAGATCTTTTTTCGAAATTCTACTAATGGATGACCTGCTAGGTATGTTTGCTGGAAGGCAAACTTTGTTATTTTCTAGGTGTTGCTAAATCTCTTTTGCGTAAATAGATGGTTTATTAATTTTTAGATATTCAACGTATGCAATAACGTCATCTGTACGCGTGGTTCGAACATCACGTTCGCCCTGGCGAGGTGCAATAGAACCAATGTCTACCCATAGATCTATTATATTTGATATAGTCTTATACGGTAGATTTAGTTGTTTCAAAATGTTTGTCAAACGCTGGTTATTTAACCACCTTTCAAGTATTTCATTTCTTACTTCTATTTGTAAAGCTTTTCCTTGCTTACTGAACGGATTCATTACCAAATGTCTACAGGGTACAAAGACCTTTCGCGTTTACCAGTACTTCGCAACTTTAGTTCACAACTTCAGGATCGTGACTAAAACACCACACGAGTACATACGAGTACATACGAGTACATACGAGTAACATACGAGTACATACGAGTGACATACGAGTACATACGAGTAACATACAAGTACATACGAGTAACATACGAGTACATACGAGTGACATACGACTATTTTCTGGTCAATAAATGAGAAACAACACAATTTCTTCAATACATTGATATTTGCGTTTATTTTCCCTTGTATTTGTGTGGACTTTGGGCCAACCATTTGATGGATTTAAATGCTGAAAAGGTATTTTACTTTCATACTACATTCATTTGTATGTTTTAGTTGAATTTGTTATAGATATTTTGTCGATGCGATTTGCCAGTATTTGAGCGCTTTTTGACACACTTCCACCTAGGAAATACATATTTATGAAAGCGATTATACATTCATTTTGGTCTTTAAGATACTGATTTTGCAGTTAAAAGACTGAATTATATCAGCTAGAACTTTAAAAACATTAAAAGTAAGCTGAAATTGTACGCATATGATATATATACGTAACACAGTGCAACTCTCATTTAATTCAAATATATATAATGTACATTTATTTCATATAGCACGTTTTAAAAGCATTATTTATACGTTGTTTATTTAATCGCTTTCACAAATATGTATTTCCTAGGAGGAAGTGTGTCAAAAAGCGCTCAAATACTGGCAAATCGCATCGACAAAATATCTATAACAAATTCAACTAAAACATAAGTCCCAAAGTTGCCCCAAAGTCCACACAAATACAAGGGAAAATAAACGCAAATATCAATGTATTGAAGAAATTGTGTTGTTTCTCATTTATTGACCAGAAAATAGTCGTATGTCACTCGTATGTACTCGTATGTTACTCGTATGTACTTGTATGTTACTCGTATGTACTCGTATGTCACTCGTATGTACTCGTATGTTACTCGTATGTACTCGTATGTATTCGTATGTACTCGTGTGGTGTTTTAGTCACGATCCAACTTCAGTACTCAAGTACACAACTTCAGTACTCAAGTACACAACTTGTCAACTCAAGTTGACAAGTTTATATCGAATATTCTATATTTGGAAATGTCGTTGGCAACAAGGCTGAGTTGTCATACTGCAGAAAAACCGCCGCTGCTGCAGCCAATAAGATTGCAGGAAAACCTAGGATTCCGCCCGCTGCTGATGTGAAAAAATGATATATATGTTATTGAACAGTTGGAAGGTCCGTATGGAAAAAATAATTTCATGAAGTCACAAAACGGAAATTTACTTTTGAGACCGAAGGCGTCCTCGGTTGGTTTTAAGTTAAAAAAGTATAGGAGATTTTTTTTATACTAAAAACTGACTTGGCTACATGCAGCTTACATAATACATTTAATAAAAAAATTAACTTACATTGTGGGGCATGTAGAGTAGTTACATTTTAAAATTTGAAGCCTACTTCAGATAATATACTTTGCGGGACTTGCTCCTGGCAAAGTCTTTGATCAGTTCATCGAAGTCAATCTCTCTGAGAATATCGAGATCAATGCTCATTATAGCAAGATGGCTGAGTTTACTGTGTTTCATTAATGTGCGTAATCTGGTCCATCAGGTCTTGATAAACGTCAGTTTACTAAATGAACGTTGGCCAGCACAGTTTGTTACTATGAGGTCCAAATAGATCGGCAGGATTATCTCGACCTTTGTAAATGTATCCACAACGTTTTTCTCCATCAAAAGTTTGTAAAAGTTATGTTCCTTTCCAAATTTTTTATTAGTTTTCTCGCTACAATCTTCGTTATAAGAGAAATGAACCAGGAATGATGCAAACTGTACTAGTTAAATTCTCAGTGTTCGCTACACATCATTTATGAACTCGGAAACCAAAAGTGCGGCTGCAGCTTTGATTTCCTTATCATCCATTGTTTCTATACTTTGCAAGAAATCGAACAAAGAACATGTCTGTTCATAAGCGTCTAGTCGTTGCTGCACTGAACTTGCAAAAAATTTTGAGCCCAATCTTTCTCAGCTATAGAGACAACAGCATTGACGTCTTCTGATCGACTGTAATCCAAACGATTGAGGCGCACACTTTGTTTGCACGTAATGTTAAAGCTTTCTCGTTTTGAGCGCACAAAACACTACAATGATTTAAGCATAGCCACTGCTGTGTTTAGACCAAGCTTAGAATCTTGCAATTTATGACTTGTGGCACTGATTCTGTCAAGAATGTCACACCAAAAGACAGCATAGATACCAGTCTCCAATTTGAACATCTTGGCATTTGCTTCAGAGCATGCTTTATTCATCTCATTTTTATTATTTGCTATCTTAGAAAGAGCTTGATGAATTGAGTTATAACCTTGTACGAGTGCTTTTAATGCGTCGGACCGACATTACCAGCATGTAGTAGAAATTCTCTATGGCATTATAACATTACCAGATTCACCGGTTTTTAGTGAGTCAGCGAGAACTTATTAACGGTGTGTAGAAATTGTGAAGAACCCATAAATTGCTTCTACAAATCAAAAAATTTCACATCTGCTTAGCAACATTCAACTGCTGCTTGTCCAACTAAGTTTACTGAATGTCCAGCACAGGCATTTGTATGATCTCTGTCTGAATCGCCATGATTCTGAATTTGTGTTGCCGAAGGAAATCATCATATTCAGCTAAACGTTCTAGTATTCCGAAAAAATTCCCATTATGTGGAGAGCTAAATGATTCAATTTCTCCAAGAGGAGGAAGGTCTCGCTCACATGTAAATTTAAGTACACTTACCTCTCGTTTTCGATCTTCTTTTGAATTGCAAAATCTATACGTCTAGTTTTGCTTGCACGGCTGGCTACTGCCAAACCTGATTGAACATGGATTTTTGACTATCATGGGCACACAGTCTCATTAGCGTGTTTCCAGTCATAGAATCCATCAAGAGTGATTTGAGATCTTGCTGTTTTTATGCACTAACCACTAGCTTGCAACAGAAGCAGTAAACTCGACCATTTGCTGGAGAAAAGCAAAACCAGGAACTTCTTACAACTTCTCCATTTGAGTTTCTTCGGAAAAATATGTCTGGTGTAAATTTTCGACTTACGTTGTTTGGATCTTGTTGTACAGCTGGTTTTGTATTGAGAGAGTTAGTATTACTGTGACTAAGATCGCGAGGACCTTTTTACAGTCCAAAAAGTCATTGCATTCTTCCGTCATAAATTCTTTGGAATGTTGTATTCTTAAGTCATTGCATTCTTCCGTCATAAATTCTTTTGGAATGTTGTATTTTAAAATTATTAAAATACAACATTCCAAAAACCTTTCATTAGACTGGATTCTAGACTTTTTTTACTGAACGCAGTCAACGAATTATACTAAGTGCCGACTGCTTCTCCGATTAGAAAACTGTGCTTGCAGGTGTTCCTCAAGGAACAAAGCTTGGTCCTTGGTTTTTCTTAGTAATGATAAATGACCTCGACTTAACTAACAACAAGAGTCTTTGGAAATACGTAGATGACTCAACTATGTCTGAAGTTGTATTCGAAGGCTAACCTAGTTTAATGCAATTAACGAATTTTTCTCAAAATCTAGATATGATGGTATACAATTAAAGGAATCCAAATGTAAAGAACTTTGTATCGGGTTTTGAAATAGAAAAATAAATCTTGATTCCATCATTATCAATGACAACGAAATTGAAGTGGCCCAGAGTGCGAAGCTACTCGGATTAACTATCACCGACAATTTAAATGGAATAAGCACATTGAAACAATCTGGAAGAAAATTTCAACTCGTCTATACTTTCTCCGACAGTTAAAACGGGCGAAACTAAAAGACCTTCTGTTGTTCTATACCACCTGCATATGACCGGTCGCTGAACATGCATGTGAAGTCTTTCATGACTCGCTAACAAAATACCTTTCAGACGAACTGGAATGTTTACAGCGTAGAGCTTGAAAAGTAAATCTCACTGATCAGTCGTACGAAGTCTCGCTTAATCAATTGTGTCTATTGTCCTTGTTTGATCGTAGACAAACTTTGACTAGTAAGTGTTTCCAGAAAATAGTTAA